GGCCAAATAGCATACAATAAACGTGATGCGCTCTAGACGCGTACCACATTTATTGGGGGGCATTTGTTAACCCCTGTATAAAGAGTAAGAAGGGAAGAAAGTAGAAATCCAACGTATATACCTTATGTTCGGCGGATCCACGAATTCCGCCGTGAATTCGGCGCCAAATAGGTCATCTCCCACGATTCCTACATGAATCCCGCCTCGGTTCTTCTCCATGAAGCTCCATTTCCCTTCACCAAGCCAGTCTCCTTCGCGATCCCATCGCCCTTCCCTTATTCGTAAGCTGAGAGAGAGAGAGAGAGAGAGAGGGAGAAGAAGCTTTCTCCCTGCATGAAGCCAAGCTTCTACCTCCACAAGCCCGACGCCTGTAGGCCGACAAACCCGCAAGCCCCGATTCCTCTTGCCTTATCTCCCCAATTCACCCCCCCTCTTGGGGTGTTATAGTCATCCAACAGTACCTTCGCGGGGTTGTCGGTGTTGGCACGTGGATTAAGGTAAGATCACTATTAATTTCTAATTAATTATAAATTAAATTCAACTAATTTATAATTAATCTTAAAGTAAATATAATTAATTATATATTAAATGTAATTAATTATAAATTAAATCTAATTAATTTGTAATTAATTTTAAATTAAATATAACTAGTTGTAGATCAAATACAACTAATTATAGTTAATTTATCACTAATTATGAATTAAATGACCCTCCTCTTGCCTCGGTCTACGAGCTAGCACCGTCATCATCAACCCCACGAAGGTACGAATATTTCCAAAACTCAAAACCCTACTTCAATGTTCGTGGCGGACCACAAAACTGCCCATGCACGCCTTTGTTGCGCATGGTGGGATGGGACTTTGGTGCGGCACCTACAGCAAGGCGGGGTCACTCATAAGTACCCCCGAGCGGAGGGAAAACAAACTATCTTTTTAAACGGGTACCGTCAAAGACTGCTTTTTAAAAAAAAATGCTTTTAAAATCCTATGCACGCCTTTGTTGGCGTGGTGGATGAAAAAACAAAAAATACCGCTGCAGTGTCTCACAAACACCAACTGTGCATGTCTTTGTTGATGTGGCGGGTAGGCGGCCTCTTGGTTTTTTCCCCTTAACGAGGGAGACGCCGGGAGGCTGCCGAAATTTTGTTCAAAAAAGACAAGGACTTAGAACAAACAGTGGACTTTATTTGGACATCAAATGAACTTAACTTGGGCATAATTTAAGACAAAATCAAGCTTAAATCAAAATTTAATCAAGAGATGTTGTAAGGAATGAGAACTTGATTCAAACTTGATCAATAATGAACTTGAAAGACAACGAAGGTTGAACTGAACTTGATTGAACTCATTTTGAGCTCGGACTTGAACTTTACAAGGACTACAGGAGACGCATGACTTGAGCTTGCTACTTGAACTCAAGCAAGGATTTGATTTGGACAATAAGACCTGGACTCAAGCTTGGACAATGATTTGAACTAAATGCACTTGAACTTAAACTTGAACTTGATATGACATGGATAATTTGGACTCAAATTCAAATGAACTAGAACCTCAACTTAAATGAATTATGAATGAATGATTTGAACACAAACGAAAATGTTGAAGACTCATTTTGGGACTCAAACTAATTGAGACCTCAGTGGATATGATTTGGACCATTTGAACTCAAAATTCAAATGATCAAATGACTCAAATCAAAGTTGATTTGAACTTGACTTGAATCAAAAGACCACATGAAACTCAAGGATGATAAATATTCAGTGTATATGAGTGGAATTCAATCAGATTGAAGCATTCGAATGATTGCAAGCAATTATCAATGAACAAATTATCATGTAGATCATGAACTTTTCTTAAAGGGATCTTCAATGTGTGGTTTAATGTCCTTGTCAGTGGATCCACAAGTTCATTCAAAGAAGTTGGATAGCATTTAACGAAAGAATCCCCCAATGAATGATACAATCCGTCCACAATGATTATGCCAATCCAGATGCTGATGTTAAGTGGAAATAATGATAATGTTGTTATTCATGCCATGAGCCTTCAAGAAATATAGTGGGCATAATGATTTGCTATTTGTTATACACAATAAATGCAGCATGCTTGCAAACATCAAGGGGAAACAACTTGATTGCAATAGTGTATTAGTGTGTTCATGGATAGAACACCAAAGCTCATACACAACTGATGTCACTCAAGTGTAAACAAATACACTAGACTCCCTCAAATGACAACAACCAGCACATATGAAGAAATGGATGGTAAGAAATCACATCAAATACAAATACAAATGCTTGTGAGTAGTATTAAAAGATCTGCAATACATACAATCTCTCTACGAATACAGATGTATGTATAATATGTCACCCATGGGTAGATACAGAAAGACTTCAGTAAATGCAGTATCATGTAGTCAATTTCACTCCGTGAATAAATACGTCTACCCACCTACATGCAGCAATAGCAGATGTATTGAAAAGACCAAAAACCACTGCAAAATGCATGAAGAATGTGACAACCTACTTACGAGCTATAATGCAAGACCTCCAATGGGCATTATAACAGGTTCGTGAGAACTATGCCAGTCGAAGTGCGAATCTCCAATCAATAACAATGTTAATGATGTCATTCATGTTATAATCTGATTGCTGATGCAATGAAAAGATCGTATTGCATGTAAAGAGTTGTTTAGAGGTAACAACGAGAAGTATGCGATCAACATATATATGAAAAAACATATCACAATTATAAGCAAATAGAAGAAATAATCCTGGAGAAATTGATTGTCACCAAGAATAATTGATTGGTGGACTAATGTATGAGTTTGATAAAACTCAGCCACCTATGAATATAATGAGTCCATGTGAATGATGATAGAAAATACAAGCATTAACAAACATGAGGCAGGAGATTAGTTAGTGCACTACGATCCACCTGCAGAAAGCAACAACTAGTGCACGACAGTTTACCTGTGCAAAGCAACGCACAACTCTATTCAGAAGCTGCTACGCCCCGCCACCGGATCCGCGACACTCGTACTAGCGGACAGAAGGCGTGTATAAGCTCTTAAATGAAATGTTATGCATTCAAATGACAATTACCTGCATGACTAAAATATTTCAAAATACCCCCGCACGTGCACCATAATTTGTATACACATATGTACACTAATGGGGCAAATACAATCATAACCCGCATGCGCCCCGGCGAGCGTGTTATTGATACACACGTGACGTCTAGGGATGTTGCGCGGGTCGATAAGTGAATTCAAGTTCTAACTCGATCCTTCTATACGGATCAATAGGAGTCGACAGGGTTCGAACCTTCAAAAAAATACACTGTTGTGATGACCGGTGTATTTATTTTAATGCATTCATATTAGACCTTCATGCTTAAAATCAATAAAATTCACTAACAATGGCACAAAGCCTACGAACCCGATCCTCTGTCGACAGCTAGACAGAGTCGACAAGGTTCAAGCTACAAATGAGAATGCCCCCAAACACCCCGATGATGGGCCGTGTTGAATGTAGATCTCAACTAGAGGGGTCCATAAATATTTTCAAATGCCTCCCAAAAGTCCTTTCAAAATCCAAAACTCCACATAGTCCAAAACCCAACAAATCCCAAATTCCAAGATATTTAAATTCGAAATAAATCCATTAATAACTTAAAGTAAAATCCATCCACCATCCGCAACAGTTTGCCGAGAAGGACAAATTAAAATATACTTCAGCTCACATATAGCCAAATGCCTAGTCGAAAATATCACTATGATCAATTCTCAAACAATCTCCTGCCATTAAAGATGTAGTACGTGTCCTTTAACCGGCGGTTTTGCAGCCAAATGGCACCGCAGGATAAACGGTTATGACCCGGGGCCCTCTGAACCGAGTGGTTTTGCCGCCAAATGGCACCACAAAATACCGGTTACGGCCATAGCCAATATGCTCCTTAGTGGCATCAAATCCTTGAGATATGAATCAATAGGATATGATCGATAGGGCACAAAGCCCTCTGTTAGCTAAGGTGGATTCAAATTTGTCCCCTTAGGTAAATATTCAGCACAGGTCTACAAGGTCCCCTTGGACGAAGCAACCCATGGCTGCCGACAAGGATCCTTCTGTCTGGTTGGGTCGACTACCTCCTCTGACTAAGTAGACTAGGGACCACGATGGCCCGGGACGACGGAACTATGAGATCTTGATCGGGTCCATCATCCATTCCCCCACCATCCACTTTAAATGCAAGATGGTGTAATCTCCAATTTTAAATCTCAAATCCCCGAATCTTTCAAAATCTCGAAATTTCCAAACATTCAAACCTTCAAACTTCTAATCCTTCAACCCATACTGCTACTATATGTCAGATACCACGTATTCTCTACATATCTAATTGACGACTAGCCTTAATTGAAAGTTCTCTCTCGTTATCGGAAGGGGTAATTAACTATAGGGGCTTGCGCTTATAGGAAACCAGAACTCAGATCATAAAGTCCTCACAAAATGAGAGCGAAATCTCTGGGTAGTGTCTTATCTACAAACCCATCTGTCTTCCAAAATTTACCCCAGAACTTAATTCCGTTAAAACCCCCTTGCCAAAACATAAAGCAAACAAAAAAAACAGCAATGCGCGGCGGGGAGGCCGGGAACGAATTTTCGGTGCCCACACTTTTACCATCAATTTAATGCTCTAATATTTTTGAATTTTGTGTAGATACAGATATGGCCCCTAGGGGATGAGCTCCTGAATTTAGGGGACATTCAAGATGTGATTTTAAGGATGAGTTAACCAATCAAGATGGACATATTGACAATGTCCCTGATAAAAGAATTGGAGGATGCCTAGAATGAAGCAAATTTTATATATTAGAAATAGCGATCAAAAGAAGCCAAATATGGATCATCTATTAGCATCGTGTTTCCCATAAATAAAGAGTGCAAAAACACGTTATTTCTTTTATAAAAGATATGAAACTGCTTTCAAGTAATTAAAACCAACCTCGGGCATGATTGCTACAGTTGCAGTAGAAGTATGCACACGGCCTTGTGTTTCAGTCTGTGGCACACGTTGCACTCGATGAACACCAGATTCATACTTTAATTTACTATAAACGTGGTTTCCTTTAACTTCCATCACATATGTTTTATAACCACCTTTCTCAGCCTGCAAGCATCTTTCAGTTAGCATTTACTTCATATTATAATTAAAGATGGCCACAATATAGCTAATAGAACATACCTCTGAGCTAGAAATAGTGGCGCATTTCCATGAATTGCGCTCCCCATACTTTTGATACATACGCACCTTAAGACATAATAAAAATTATCTTTTGGAAGTCAGACTGCAGTCATCTGCAGTCCAACAAAAAGCATGTCAAATGCACGGAATGTAGGTCCAAGAAGTTTGAGCATCTAGCTTGACCTCTAAATTTGTATAGGGGCTATTTATGTTGTTAAATGAATCAGTTAATGAATTCTTAGTATATGAGGGGAAGTGAGAAGTAGGGATAATGAACCCAGCACAACTACTTGGTTGAAAAAGGGAAGTGTTATATGACTTACGTTAGGAATGGATACATAAGATTCATTGTAATTAGACTTCAAATTTATGTGCTTCCTCTTTTGTAATTCAAATATCATAATATCACCTCTCCCTATGAAGCCCTTAACATCACTTGCGCATGCACACTCACGTGTGAGTTCATACAATACACAAATAATAATTATATATAATTAATTCTATTGATATACAAAATAATATAAATATTAGTATAAGTAATAAATAATAATCTACACACTAGACTATATAAAGCCTAATATATTAGACATAATCAAGATAAATTACATAAGGAGTCCTAAAGTTACTATATCGTTTCACAATAGTTTATATTTTTAGAAGCCATACAACTGAGTCCCCGAGTATAAATAAGTGTGAGAAATTCATCTTTCCATGATACATATATAAAAATACCATTCAAATTCCTAAAATCTAATAAGATGAGCTAAAGGACCGAGTTAAGTAATATATAGCTCTAAACCCATGTACTTCATAAAGCATCACCTCTATCATACTCGCAATCTTTGCACTCTATAATAAAGAAAACAAATGGCAAATGAGTTTGTAAAAGAGGCCAAGTTTGGTAGGAAATAGGTAGTGCTTTGACAATTAGCTTTGATCAAGTTCACCGATGCATTTTCATGTATCTAATGGCTCCAATGGTTTTCCATGACGTTTGTACAAAATTGCCTATTTCCCCTTTCTTTATTTTGTCTTCTTTATAAATAATTTTAGGGCTTACATCACTTTGAATGAAGAGAGTTGTAATTTTATAAAAGAGGAGTATTTTAAACACTTGAAAACTATACAAAGCTGGTCCTAGTTGCTCCCTCACAGATTAAATTGAGATTAATTTTATATGAGCAAGGGACTAAATTGAGATCAATTGTCATATGACAGATCATTGAATAAAATTTTGTATAATTGGGAGATTATTTTGTGATTTAATCTCATTCTATATTTTATATAGATGTTTAGCCTAAAGATCCCTCTTTCTTATCTTATATTATGGGTCATCTATGTCATAAGTTATTTTTTCTCAAAAACTTTCAACTCCACTTCTTCTAATAATGTGGTAAGTGCCTTCACTAATTTCGACATGTCTTTGTTTGGCCTCTTTTTTGGGTGAAGTCTCTAGCAATCTTTTCCTATATGATTTTTATTCTCATAATGAGTTCAATAAGGCCATTGTCTCCTGATTTCTTCTAGTCTTTCCTCTACTATCTTGCAATTTTGTTAAGGAAAATTGCACCCTCTGTTGTAATGGTTGATCTAATTCTTTACGTCAATAGCTATGGCTTTGAACCCTGCCTCCAAAACACCCATATAGGAAATAGCCTCAGCTCCTTGATCCTAATAATCCTGCTACATATTTCATAAAACTATATCTCTTTTAAGAAAATCTCAAGGGGTAGGCCCAAGGTTTAAAAAAGCGACATTGGGAATCAATGTATTTTATCTAAACGAGGTCAGGCGTAAGCCTGGAGGAGGATCGAAGTGTAAGCCTCAAAATGAAGAAATAAAATACTAAAAAATTATAAATAACTCATAAAAATGACAAAATATTAAATAAATTATGAGCATAATCACTTGTTTGAAAGTAAATGTTACTAGAATACAATATTCAAATTAAATACTTAAAACTTTAACATGCACCTAAGATCAAGACCCAAGACAGTCTTATTGTCACTTTGATAGTCATAAAAAAAAAATCAACAATAGGCACTTGTTTTATTCCCATTTAAAGAGTGATGTCATAGTATAGATAAGAGTAGTGCCTATGTGCTGCCAATTACGGAGAATTGATGGATACTTGTTAAAACAAAAAACAATTAAAGTTCTAAGATATAATAATATTTATTTTAAAACATGACAACAGATTAATTTTTTATCATATTTTTCTTATTTTTATCACTATAGTTAAACAATTCAACGCATATTAATTATGAATACTTATACTATCAATGCAAGGGGCCTCACGATTAGAGTTTCTTAATAAAATACTACAACCTTCTCGATATGATCTTGACGTTCCGGACACAGTGTGTACTAGTCAATACACATCTAATATACACCCATACGCAGCTAATACATAATGTGTATTAGCCACGCGTCGTCATTTGATTGAAGTCCGGATGTAGTTTTACGTCTGCACTCCACACATATAATAATATATCTTCCAAATTATAACTAAGAAATAAGTAAAAAAATAGTTGACTATATCATGAGTGATAGATTGCAAGTACCTTCCAGCAAAATATTGCGTGAATCAAGGGGATCGCTAGGAAGTACTAATACCTGAAAAACATTTACTATGGGATTAAAAACTGTGACTAGATGTTTTATTGCTTTCAATGTTCAGAACAAGTGAAGAAGAACAAAGTGAAACCACCGGTTAAATATTCCTGCAATCTTAACCACCACCATAACAAAATTATCAAAAGTTACTCATCGTTAAACTATCTCTGTTAACCAGGCAAATAAACATGTGTTACTTCTGCAGCTAAGGTGTAAAATCAATGTCCATACCCTTATTGACATTTAATTTTGACCATCTTCCTTTAAGATCAACTAGTTGGGAAGCAAATGTAAGAAATGAGCTTCAGAAACGTTGAGCCTAAAGCATCTTCAACATTTATTAGTGACTTGCACTGAAATAAATGAAAAAATAATGCAGAGTAAAGGCATACAGATTGATGCAAGAGCGAGAGTGATAACACATAAGATAAAAATAATAAAACTATAGAAGAAGATGGTAAGACGAGAAAAAGGAAAGTGCTAAAAAACCGAAGTAATGAAGCAAAAGAATCCAATCCTTCCGTAATAACAGAAGAAAGAAAAATGGTTATAGTACTATAATGAAAAAAAAGGACATAAGCAACAAGAAAAGAATAAATTAATATTAAACACAAAGGGGAAGAATTACTACTGCATAGAAAAACTTAAAAAAAAAAAAGCTCATGCCTGCTAAATCTGCCATCTGCGATGTGCTGGAACAAAGAATGAACCCTTCTTGCTAGCTTCAATCAACAGAAACACAACAGACTAATGTGTGCACCATTATGAGTGTCCATTACAGTTTATGACCCTATCTCAATTACTTCCCTCCCAAATCTGAATTAAAATCAGCCTTCTTTTCCTATATTAAAATCTTCTTAAACAGCTCTGCCTTTATTCCTCCCTCTTACATAATGAATAATAGCTACCCTTGGCCCTAAAGGGGGGCCAAACTTCTCCCTTCTGCTGCCCTTGGTTCTGCCCAGCCACGTGGCTGGTTCGGCCTGAGCTGATCTAGGTAGGACGAAGGTGGGGGTACTAAAGTCAGTGTGTGATCTCCTATCACACGCCTTAGTTGTGAGACATGAAATATTGGGTGCAATGCCGATGAAGGTGGTAATCCTAGTCGATAGGCCACTGCTCCAATGCACTCCAAAACTTCATAAGACCCAAAGTATCATAGAGACAATTTCTCACTCCTCTTGGCTAGTATATTCTGCCAGTATGGTCTCAGCGTCAAGTAAACCATATCTCTGGGCTTAAAGTGTACTTCTCTCATGTGCTCATCAGTCTTCCTCTTCATGATATGTTGGGTCCTTAACAAATGTCCCTTGTACTCTGCTAATATCTTGTCCCTCTCCTTTAAGCATTGATCTAAACTTGATACTGGTGTAGTGTTATGCTATAATGTATCAAATGAGGTAGATCTCTCTCATAGAGAATTCTGAAAGGGGTGGTCTGTGTTGCTTAATGATACAAAGTGTTGTACCAATACTCAGCCCAAACAGTTCACTTTGCCCAACTCTTCGACATATCTAATACAAAGCATCACAAATAGGTCTCCACACTTCTGTTGACCACCTTCGTCTGACCATCTGTTTGGGGATGGTATGTTGTGCTCCTCTTTAGGACTGTCCCCTGTAAACGGAACAACTCATAGAAATGACTAAGGTACACCTTGTTTCTATAATTCTATCTGACACAATAGATTCTAGATATCCATGTAAGCGCACCCTCTCATATGAAAGCAGTAGCCACAGAGATTGCGATAAGGGTGCTTCAGAGGGATGAAGTGTGCATACTTGCTCAAATGATCCACTACTACATGTATCACAAAAAATTCCTCTGAATGTGGTAACCCCTCGATGAAGTTCATCGGCACCTCCTTCCACACCCTCTCCAGTAAAGCTGGAGGTTGTAGTAATCCTCCTGTCATCATGGCTAAGTACTTGTGTCGCTGACACCATCACATCTCGACACCTAGTCCTCTGCATCAAGGCACATCCCTACCTAGTATAACTCCGCGGACAACCGACTATAAGTTTTCTGAACTCCTGCAACAACTTGGGAATGTACTCTGATGTCCTTGGTAAGACGAATAGCCCCTGATGTAGCAGTTGGGGCCCCCACAACGTGAAACTGGGATAATTGTCTAGGTCCTACAAATACTAGGCTCTAATCTTTCTCAGACCCTCATCTTATTTGCTCCCCCGTCTCAAGGCTTCCCAGTCTAAGACCATAGGTACTGATAGAGTTGTCAGTTGTGGCTCGTCCAACTTCCTCGATAGTGTATCCGCAGCCTTGTTCTCCAATCTTGGGCGATAGTAGATCTCAAAATCATATCCAAGTTACTTGGACAACTACCTTTGATGCTCCTCAATTACCATCCTTTGCTCCAGCAGAAACTTCATACTCCTATGGTATGTCCTGACGATAAAGTTTTGCCCCAACAAATAGGGTCGCCACTTTTGGATGGCTAAGACAATCGCCATCAACTCCCATCAACTCTCACTCGTATACGGACTTGAGCCTCGCCCAGGTCGTGAGCACTTGACTGAAATAAGCAATGGGTTGATAATCCTGCGTGAGTACTGCCCCTAGTCTATATCCTAGTGCATTTGTCTCCACCACAAATGATTTACTGAAGTCATGAAGTGTTGATACGGGCACGCTCATCATGGCTTTCTTCAACTACTCGAAGGCATGTGTTGCTACTTCCCCCTAATTGAAATTGTCCTTCTTCAACTACTTAGTCCTTGGCCATGCTATCGTGCCATACCCTCGCACAAACTTCCAGTAGTACCCGATGAGACATAAGAACCCTCTTAACTCCTTCGGTTCTTAGGTAAAGGCCAATCCAATATAGCCTTAATCTTGAACTAATATGTTGTTGTAACACCCCACAATAGAACTACACTTTACTGCATAGTGCAACAATAATAATCATAACATTTCCATCATTTACCTCTGAACTCTGTTGAATTCATTTCATATCTAAATAAAAAATCATATAATATCATTTGGAATAATAAACGAAGCATCTAATAATTTCCCAAATTTCATCACATCAAAGACTTTGTACAGAGCCACTAAAGAAATATAAAACAATTCAAAGTAAATTAACATTAAAACTTATTTACTAACCTTAATAGTAGATTACAACTTTTAAATAAACATAAAAAAAACTTAAATACTTGCATATCAAACTTCTTCCACTTTTCCTTATGTTTTTCCTGTAAAAACAGCCAGTAAAAGATAACTAGTAAGCTATGAGGCCCAGTAAGTTATGCAACTGAAAATAGTATTAAACTTGCATGTTAAAATTTTAGAACAATAAACATGAATGAATTTAAACTACTAAAGATACTACAAATATTTCATTTAACATTACCTTTAATTGTTATCTTATATCTACACTGAATATCAATTTTTGTCATCAAAAGATTTGGCTATTCTTTCATAAACAAATTCAATGGAGCCCAGTAAAACCTGGCATTATCGCCATTGAATTCCATAGAAATCCCTTTTGCCTCTTTAGGGGTCCCTTTTGCCCCACCTGCTATGCAGGTATAATTTCTTTTGGGGTCCCTTTTGCCCCACTTACAAGGTAGTTATATATTTGGGAACCCTTTTGTCCCAACTATCCTTGTAAATCATACATCATATATATATATATATACTTTATGACATAACTCAAGCTTGCAATGTTGCTTTCATAAAGATCTTTATATGCTACTCATTTGTATAATGAAATAGTCTATCATATGTTAAGAATGGAAATTTTTTCCAAAATATTTCCAACTAGCAAAATCTTTAATGAAACATAAGAACTCTTATTTGAAACTCTCATGATGCAAATATATAAGAGATCTTTCATATATGGAAACCAGGTTAGGAACATCCTTTAGCTAGAGAATTACTTGTAATGCATAGTTTTCTTGCATTCATTCAAATACCAATATACAATGTAAAATTAACAAGAATTACATTTAAAACTTTAATTTGCATTACTTACCTTCTAGACGGTTTGCTTCTTCCAAACCTTCACTTTTTATTCTTCTTCTATTATAAGTCACTTCAAAGCCTCCTCTTTGCATAAGACTATATAAGCGATATCACCCTAAATTATAATTTGCATAAGAACCTTACTAGATAGAATTAGTATAAAAGATAAGGAAAATATAGGATTCTTACCTTTTTCTATCTTCTATGATTTAGTCTTCTTCAATTCTAACTTCCCAGAATACCACTCAAAATCTCTATTACTTCATTTTAATTATGCTACTGGTTTTCTTCTTCTACACCAGAAAATTATATCACATGATGAAACATTACTTACAATTTATGCCCTCAATGAAGATTCTTTCAAAAGATCAAATCTCTTTAAATACTTTTGCTGAATTCTAAATGACTAATGCAGAAATTTCATGTTACCTGTACTCTACTATCGTTTATATGCTCTTTGCTGGCAGGAGAATTGGTTATACTCACACTCTTGATAGGCGAAATTCTATCTATCCCATGACTTGCGAATTGTTACTGTTCGCAGATGGCATCTCTCTCCGCCAAGCAGTTCTCCGCCTAATGCTACAGTCCCGGGAAATGTCTTCCACTGAAATGCCTTCAGTTTCTCCACACAGCCGATGGTGGAATAGGGATTTTCATAATTGCTTGTGAAATAACTTCACTGCACTGAATTCCTTCCCAAAAATATTCCAAAGGTTCTCCACATGAATTCAGATAAATCCAATGGGAAGTGGGTCCCACTTCTAACTGCTTACATCCAAAAGCCTCTTCTGAATTTCCTTTCTCTTCACTGAACCATGAACCGACTTTCTTTTTGCTTGGCTTGCGGGAAACTGATCGGATAAAGATCAGTGAATAAGAGGATAAGAGCTGCTCTCTCTCACATTCTTTCACTATAAACAAGCATCTATCCATTTCACCTTTACGAAAGGAATCATTCTGGTTCTCAGTTTATGAACATCTCTATCCAATATCATTTCAAGTTATTCAACATA